ACATGACAGAAGAAGAAATCAATTGTAATGCCATATGAAGAAAATATCGCGTCAAAATGAAAACCGCTTTGATGGTAACTGAAAAACCTTCTTTGGCAGCATCCCTGGCCAATATATTGAGTAATGGACGATGTAATATCAAAAAACGTATGTTGATAACTTGAATTGTTTCCTTCTTCAGCTTCCTCTTTCCTTCTTCATCATTTCTATAATAATAAATTTTTTCTACGAATATCTTTAGGACTGAATGGCTTTTGTTCCGTCCACGAATGGGTAGATCAATTTAGATCCAAGACTGTAAATTTTAAAATGACCTCTGTATGGGAACACGTTACGACAGTAGACTTTATTGGAAAATACAACAATTGAGACAAAGTAGATCTGGTAAGATTAGATATATTGGAGTTTTGTTTTTTATTATGTACAGAATAACTGAATTTTTTTAAATGTATATCTCAGGCTGATTTGTTCTCGCCTGTTCAACTGAGAAGAAAGAAGCGGTACCGAAACTGAAAATATTATACTTTTTGGCCAAAGAAGGAGCGCATTGTGATTATTTATTATTACGGTTAGATTGCGACAAGGAAGGTGAAAATATTTGCTTTGAAGTTATAAATGCAGTGCAGCAAGGAATGCACAGAAACTTACATATAAATGTAAGGTGCTTGTACACATCATATTTGTAGATATTGAAGCTATTGATTCTTTTTGTTGTTTTAAAATGAAGCCAAAAGCGTTGATGCGCGTCAGAAGTTAGATTTACAAATAAGCTGTGCATTTACAAGATATCAAACTAAATTTTTTCAAGTATAGAACAACTCTTTGCATTGTGTCGCGTTATGAAATTTGAATATCAGGATATGAATAAGTTACTATACTTTTAGGGTAAATATCCTCGAACGGAGACAACATCGTGTCCTGAAAATTTTGATCTGCTGTAAGATTGTTTCAGATTAATTGCACACGCGCGACAGTTACACATGTATGATGCTCGTGTCACGCGGTACTTGATATTTGTGTATTACAATTATTTTACTTTATTTAGGCTGCGTTCGGGGAGCGCACTATTAGCGTTATTGCATCATTCTACCTTTATCGCTCAT